TTCTGCAAGTCACCTTCATGATTAGTCCAACCTGATATATGCATGGGTCTTCAGGGAAAAGACTGTTCATTGTATCTTCCCCCACAATCTGCAAGCTTGGAAAGCAACCACATTGGGTATGTTGTTGTTGTTGTTATGTGCTGTGGAGTTGGACCCGACTCATAGCGACCACTCCTTGGGTTTCTGAGGCAGTATCACTATGGAAGTAGATTGCCCCATCTTCCTTCCAAGGAGTTACTGGTGGGTTTGAACTGTTAGGCAGCCTATAAGATGGACCCCAGTGATCCTTATCTCCTGGAATTCATGGTCTGTGTAATCCCATCCCTTGAGTAACCTGTTTCTAACCAATAAAATAAAGCAATATTGAAGAGATGTCATGTCTGTGATTATGACTTCTTTCATTTCAGCAAACTCTCTCTCACTGGTGTTGATAAAGGAAACTGCCAAGTTGGAGAGGCCCACATGGCAAAGAACAGGGTGGCCTCCAGGTAACAGCCAATAAGGAAATGAATCTTACTAACAGCCATGTGAATAAACTTGGAAGCATATCTATCTTCAGTCAAGTCTTGAGATGATATCCCAGGCCTGGCTGCTCCCTTAGATGATACCCTGAAGTAGAAAAGGCAGTTAAGCTGTGCCCAGATTCCTGACCCCAGGAGTGGTGAGAAAACAATGTTCATTGTTTTAAGTAACTTAGTTTTAGAGTAATTGCTTGTAATGTTGTTGTTGTTGTTATGTGCCGTTTAGTCAGCCCTGACTCATAGCGACCCCTCTTTGGGTTTCTGAGGCAGTATCTCTACAGAAGTAGATCGCCCAACCTTACTATAGAATATAATAATTGCAATAATAGAAAACTAATACAGATTTGGTACCTGGAAATGGGGTGCTGCCATAACAAATACCTAAATTTGTGGGAGTGGTGTTGAAACTGGCAATGGGTAGAGGATGGAAGGATTTTTGCCTTGAACAAATTGTTAGTAGAAATCTGGACTTCAATGATGCTGTCAGTGAGAGTTCAAAAAGAAGTGAGGAACATGTTTCTGGAAGCTGGAAGAAGAGCAATCCTTGTTATACAGTGGCGTACAACTTAGCAACATTGTCTCTTACACTTATACAGAAAGCAGAACATATATTGGATATATTTGTTTATCTAGTTAAGAAAATTTCGAAGCGAAGTATTGAAAGTGCTGCCTACTTTCTTCTTGTTGTCAACAGTAACATGTGAGAGAAGAGTGATAATTGAGGAAAAATCTGGTAGATGAAAAGGAAACAGGACTTGATGATCTTGAAAATTCTCAGCCCCTCCAGTAGAAAAAGATATTTAGGGGAAAACAACAACAAGATACAAACAGGGCTCAGCCAGAGCTTTGGGTTTGGGTTTGTGATCCCTAAATTAAACTTCAATATAAATGTGTGTGTGTGTGTGTGTGTTTAAATACAGCAGAGCTTCTATACAGCAGAAATGGGAACATAAGTTAATTAAAGAGCAAGGTTCAGACAGTATCATAAGTTAATTAAAGAGCAAGGTTCCAGCCTGACGTGTCTGGAAATGAGTGGAGGGCTGTGCTGCCCTTATACATTTGTTCTATCAATAACATGTGGCTTCAGCCTGCTTGTCCAGTCAGCCTGAAGCCAAATGGAAAAAGGGAAGGCAAGGAATGAAGTATCTGGTGAGGAGTGAAGGGAATCCATGCTGTTTAGATCTGCTGTGCAGCTCCCAGGAATTATAAGACTTGTTCTTAGTAAATCTGCTTAGGGGGCCCAGGTGCATGGTGGCAGATGCAATTATCAGGTCAAGGAGGGAGTAAAGCCTGCCTTTTAGATTTAAATTCCCCAAACAGACCCTTTTCCATTCTAAATCCTTTTCCTAGCATTCTCTCATTGCCAGTGTTTCATTTTACCCTAAGTTTGTGGATACAGCTGACATACAGCCTGAAATTGAATTTCAGTCCAATCACGTGTCACTGCATATGTTTAGAACACCTTTAGAGGTTTATGTATATTTACTATGTGATCCCTAAATTAAAGTACCACTAACTGCAATTTTGGGAGCTCTGGTAGAGTAGTGCCTAAGGCACTTGACTGCTAACCAGAAGTCTGGCGGTTCAAACCCACCAGCCACTCCTCGGAAGGAAGGTTGGGCAATCTATTTCTATAGAGATATGGCCTTGGAAACCCAAGGAGGGGTCGCTATAAGTCAGATCCAACTTGATGGCAATGAGTTTGGTTTCGTTTTTTTTAACTGCCGTTTCATGAACATTTATACCAAGGCAGTTATGTGTAGATTTTAAGTAACAACTTCACTCATTCTATTATTTCCAGCAGAGTGAAATTGGAATAGTTAGCCCTGCATTGAATGGTTTTGATAATATACTGTATTAAGTCTTAAAGGGAGTTAGATTTCTGGGAGAAAAGCTTTGAGTAACTAGGTATGCATTAACATCCTTTTATATCTGTGAGGTCCTTCTTTTCTCTCTTTTTAAAGAGGAGCGAGGAAGAAAAATATAGAGAAAAAAAATGCATATTTGTTTAGAGATTGCTTAAAATACCACTTCAACCAGGAAAACAGCTCTAATTAAAACTGAATATGACTCAAAGTATTGGATTTGGCCATTAATTAGAGAGACTGAAAGATGGAGACTTCTTTCAAAGATGAAAGAAGAATATCCTACTTTTCCTAAATCCCTCCAGCCTATGCTAGCTTGCTAGCTCCAAGGCACAGAAGGTTATAAGTAGCCAGTGAGTGCCTCCTCAGCCCTCAAGAAATGTCTCCACCAAGGAGAACTGTAATATGCTCACCAACCAAATCTCCATCCTTGTTCCTCCCTTCCCTATTTCTGACCCAAAGGACGATCTTTTCTCTGTTTATTTTCTGGCAATTCCAAGGCTATTTGAGTCAATGGAAGGAAGAGGTCCTAGCCATGTGGAGATGTGCGTCTAGCTGAAGGTGACCTACATGTACTCACCAGTACACTGGTGCCCAGTGCCCG